AAAGTATATTGTACGACCAGAAAGTATATTGTACGACCAGAAAAGTATATTGTACGACCAGAAAGTATATTGTACGACCAGAAAAGTATATTGTACGACCAGAAAGTATATTGCACGACCAGAAAAGTATATTGTACGACCAGAAAGTATATTGTACGACCAGAAAAGTATATTGTACGAGTGGTAAAGGGCTTATCTGATCTTGGTAAATGGCTTCATAATGCCAGTAATTTACGTAGACATAGAAAATCTATAAAGCTAGTGGTCTCAGGCGCAGAGGAAGTAAAAGTAAACCTTGTTTATAGGAACACATTTCATTAAAAATGTTTTTATAGAAAATTTTCTTTTATTATTATTTATTGGGATCTCTGGGTGCTTTCCACTAAGTTTTTCTGGTTAGGAAAACATGTGTTGTCGTAAGTTTCGGGTCATTGCCTTTTAGTGCATCTGCTATATGAGACATTACAACCATTGAAACATCAACCATTGCAAGCGCAGTCAAAGGTAGACACAAAGGTAGACACAAAATAGCCAAATGAAAAGAAAACATATGAAATTGTTTACAAATCATTTAATTACTCTCTCAAATTACCAAATTCGAAGTTCAAATGCATTCACACAAATGTCGCTCATTTAATTACCAAATTCGAAGTTCAAATACATTGCAACAAGTGGTCGCGCATTTAGTTACTCTCTCAAATTACCAAATTCGAAGTTCAAATGCATTCAACAAATCTTGCTCATTTAATTACTCTCTCAAATTACCAACATATACTAACGAATAAACTTTGAATATTGAAATCTTATTAATCACAACGACGGCCAATCAACATTGATTATTATGAAATGTGAATAAGTTGATCATTCTGTAATTTGTTTAAAAGATTTTAGGGACTGGTTGGCTTCGTTTTTGTCGTCCATTTCATTTTCTTTGGAATTCACACTGCAACTACCTGACGAAATTCTTAACGTAACCGTGCCTTTATCCGTGGCTTAGTTATCAACAACAAAGGCAGAAATCGCATTCAGAAACATCCATCTCAACGATAAGTTCTGCGAGAATATTGAATACATCTTAGCATGCTTTGCAAAGATCAATTATCCCAAATTCTACAATTTTTTCATTAGCAATACGTTTAAAAAGAGCGACAAAGTCATAATCGTAAAAACTACATTAATATTGTGACAAGTGGTGTCAAGTGACCAAATGAAATGAAATGTTTAGGGATGCCAAAGTGAACAAAATCAGGAGCTGTAAAAAATTTGAGTAGAATTGCATAAGAAATATTATTTGGGTTAATTATTAAAAATATAAAAATATTGAAAAAAAATATATTTACAAAAAAAAGTAATAATATATATGTACAAAAAAAAAGTTTTTAATTCAAACTATTTGGTTTGAAATTTTTTCAAGAGAGACAATTTACTTCGCCATACATTTCTGTAGACATGGCTTCTTAAATCTCCAGGCATTCAAAACTAAGCTGAGTAAAATAAGACAAAAAAATTTAGAGAATTTATAGGTTTATATTAAAACAAATGAAAGACATACCTCTTTTTTTCAGACACGAGTTAAACAAAATTTTACACTAAGAAAAGAAATTGAGCAGTTGAGCGAATCAGCAACAGGAAGGTTCAAATTGAGCAAGAAATTCTTTGTTTCAACCTCAATCAAGTTATTAATGTTGAATTGTAAGCAAAACCACACGCATGGCAAAAGTAAAGAAAAAGTACAATTTGCAGCAACCAAATAGGCACTAGAACTGGTAACAATAAACACACACAGTAGTATTGCAGTAGTTTTAATTGATGAACAACAGCTGTTTGACATTTGACAAAGATCTGCTTGGTGTTGCCATACAAATTTGGTTTTAGTTTAACAGAAAACCAAGCTTTTTTAACGGAAAACCAGTAAATTTAACAGAAATCGGACTTTACTACGTTAGTAGGTTTCCGGATTTCCTGATTGTTTCCGATTCTTTTTCTTTGACTTGGTCGCTTTTTCTCTTCTAGATGGTTTTGGAAAATACGCGAATTAAACTTATTTAATTTTGCAAGTTAGCCTAAAAGTAGACCGCCATAATTTTTTTTATTATCAAGTTAAACAAAACAGTAGCTAAATTTTCTGCTATTTGCAGAACGAACGTAATTCTCTACGCTAATTTGCAAAGCCGTCGGCAAAATTCTCCAATTTGTTCCTCTTTTACAGCACCACTGCGAAAACGACGTATATATATATATATATGTTAGTGGTTTGTGCCATCGATAAAGTAGTTACATATTCGAGTTTTTATGCTGTCGTTAGGGAAAACAGCCAACTCAACTAAGCAAAAATTAATTAATTAAATAACTTTAGTTAATAATAGACCGTAATACGCTTTTTAGTTAATTTCAAAGCTATGTAAATTCTTTCAATATCAGTTATATTCTTAAAACCGGCCCCTTTAATTTAATAAGCATGTATTATTATTCAACATTACAAAATATTAAATTTCAAGGTCTTGCTTTGAGTTATTGTTTGAACAAGCGGAAACGATAGATTCGATTGGTTTATACGGCTCATTTTACTTCCGTCATTTAATGTTAGATATCTTCTGATAAGAAGATGAACTAAAATATACAAAAGCTAATTTAAACATGCTCAGAAAACGCTTTTTTTAAAAAACAATTTATTTTCCGAAGGTATACAGCAAAAGATTAGAAAAATTGTATTCATTTTATATTAAATAAATGTATACAAAAATAAAATATATATAAAAGAATGATTAAATGATCAGAACCCGCAAATTGAGCATTTCCATTTTAATGATTGCAATGAAATTGCAGCAAACTTGCCCATCAAGTAGAAGCACACGATTTTAATGCAGGGTAAAGGTATAATAATATAATGTATCCACTAAACATAAACGTGCTAAAAAAAATAATACGAAAAAAATGAGTGAAGTACGTTTAAAAACGCAGAGCTGCAATTGATACCATATACAGGTCGAAAATAACAAAGATTGTTATATAACTCAATTTTTTCATCAAAGTGAAAAAGAAACAATTGGTAAAAACGCCGAGGAAACAATGGAAATTATGAAAAATTCGGATGCCAAGGATGCAATCGGCGAACAGAAGGAAAGAATAACATAAAAAATAAAGATTCGCCACAAAAATAATTTCTGGAGAGAAAGCTTTCAAACAGGAAAATACCTATCAAGAATTATGTATGCAATTCCATAACTGTTCATGAGGGAGCCATTTTGTCTTAAAAAAGGGGCAAAGCAGAAAGGAAGCTAACTCAATTTAAAGGCGAGAAGATACTGGCGAAAATGCCGAATTATATTGTCTACATTGAAATACAGCGGATGTCAGCCATTTGAAAATTTTTTCTATCGAAATGTAAACTATTTTATTTATTTTTGCCTTTGTTTCTACTATAGCTATTTAATATTACCACTTTAAAGAGCCCTACGATCCAGAACACGAATGTAGCGCCACTAAATTTTATATGGCACGCTCTAAAGCTAAGATAAGGAACGCTCTAACTGTCAGCAATTGGGAAATTGTCAAGAACATCAAGTGCTTGGTTTCAATCCGGCCCCTGATATCAAGAGAGAGGGGTAAGCGACTTTTAAACAACACAAAACAAATCTGCGTTTTATTACCTCCTCTTCACAAACTTTTTGGTAAGGATGAAGCTAGCTTTGCAATGGATGTTCAAATCACTCCATGGCAGAGCACCTAATTATTTTATTTTAACACTTTTTGCCTTATCTTTTATATCAAAAGGTATCGAAATGGCTTGGAATTATAATTATAAAGTTGGCTTGAGATACGGCAAAGTTTTATATTGCCAATGCGCAGCTCCGAATTGCTGCTCGTTTTTATTATCAACTGTATTTATTTCTTTTCAACACATTCTTGTGAAATCCCCACATAATGATTTCGCTTAATTGTAGAATATTTGAAACTTAATGTTAACTATTCGGAAAGATGACTAAATTTTTGCATAAGATGTACCGCCAAATCTATAATCTAAATAATCATCACTGATGTCAAAAATGATCTATCTTTTTATCCACAATTTTCTAATCAAAATTAAAACGCCTTTTGCCATCAAATCGATAACCATACGCGGCTGCATTCTTTGTATCCACTAACGCTGGATTGCGATGCTTAAAAAAACTGCCATGCGCATGAGCGGGCCGTGAAGCACTATTTGGCACACCATCCATTTCGCGCGGGTAAAAGGCTTCAAACATACCTTCGGGCGGTAAAACTGAGGCTAGCTTTTTATCATTTGGATCATAAGCATAGGAGGAATAAAAGTTGATGAACAGAACTACAAATGACAGCATAGTGATGATATTCCAGTACATGCTAGCGGGCGACATATGTTTTCTTATTTACTTGTTCTACTTTTTAAACGTCTCTTTATTTTTCTTATAGTACTACTTTCAACAATTGAATAATTATTTTACTTTATTCCTTACTACAATTTCTTCTTCGTTTCATTTGTTAATCATTTTTTGTTAATAGAAATATTTTGACCAAATAACCTTTTATACAAAGCATTCAACATACTCAATTGCAATTAGCCTCTTTTTTTTTAATCTTTATTTCCACTTTGTTTTTATCAGATTAATTTTCTATCTATATTATTGTTCCAAACAATTTTCAATTGAAACTATTGAAATTTATGGCGAAAGTTCGCCGACGATCTCAACACTGCCTTTGTTTGTATCCCCTTCATTTACTTACAATAATAACACGAATATATTAAGAAAATTAAAATACAAACGTGACTTGGCTGCATTTTCGTGTACTAAAAGGGGCTTCCTATTATATTTAATATACTTAATTAGGTATTGTTCTATCTGTATGGTATAAATTCAGTTCCCGAACAAATCCATATAACTGTTATTATTAAAAAAAAAAATGTAATGATGCCTATCCTATCGACGAATAAGAAGAGTAATGAGAACGTTAACATTTAAGAATAAAAGATTTTTTTACATTCGCTTTAAAATTAGAATACGTCAAGCCTTAAAATTAAAACTTGGATTTCAGAAGTTGAGCAAAGTGAAAGAAATTAATCCCACGGTTAAATTATGTTTACAGATACAACATTAATTTGAGGAAACAGTGAGGTTGAATCCACAATTTATTGCTATATGGACGTTTTAAAGATCTACATAAAGTTAAAGTCCATAATAAAAAACTATTAAATACTTGTTTTTATTGGCAGTCTGCGAAGCCAGTGTTACGGTAGCAAGGAAGTGTTGAAAACGACCATTTGGAATTCATATATTGTTTTACTCATCTTAATTTCCATAATTTGCTTAAATTTTATGACGCTTGCTTATTCCTTAGTTACTTTTAGTGACTGTTCCGTCATTTAAAAATTATCCTCTCTAATATGGCGTTTTAATACACTAATTTGCAAAATGACTGCTAAATTGAAAATAAATCGCTTTTATCGTTTCTTATAATATATATACACAATAAACCAATATTTCAAATCATTTAATACAAAGTAAATATATTAATTATATATATAGAAATAATATAATAATTATATAGAAAACTTTTAAACCTAAAATAAGTCTTCTTTATACCTACTTCTATGTTTTCTTTTGGAATTTTTTTACAAAACGATATGATTTTCTAATTCCACCAAAGTCTCGGAAGAAGTTGGACAATTTAGACTGCGCTTGTCTGCTTTTTTCCTACGTGGCGGACGAGTAATATGGGTATATTAATAAAAACTATAAAAACAAAAATAACATGGCGGACGTATAAGACGCAAAATTGAAGAAAAAACTTTAATCAAGTAATCACTAAAATAAAAAATAATATTATATTCCAAATCTAACCCCATTATAATATTATATTTCAAAACGAAGGCCCAAACAAATCCTCAAATTTGTAAAAATTAAGGTAGAAAATTGAACGTACACATTTATAATTGCTGTGTAATTATGTAATTCTCATTATGCAATTCACACAAACAAGCATACTTTTATCACAATACAAATTAAAAAATTATGAATTTTATAAAATTTAATGTGTAAAGAAATAAAATATTTTTGTGTCACGGTTGTTATGAAAATAGATTTTTCAATCGGCATTTCTTTTCTTCCATTACTTCATAATTCATTAAAGTTAACGGTTTGTAAATTGCATTTTGATCATAATTCATGCATGTTAACGGTTTGTAGATTGTATATTTTTTTTGCAAGAACTTGTGTCCACATTGGGTCTTTTTTACACATCCCAACCAACTTTCGATAGTTAATTTGCTGAAAAAGAAGAACTTGGGCAATTTTAATTCTTCCCTTAAAAACGCAATTAAAGCTTATTTTGTCAGGATCGTATAAAGTTTAAAATATTAAGATGAACTAAGTAAAGAAAGAAAGTAGATTCAATTCGTCAACGGGAGTGCCGTCATTATCAACTTGTACATAAAACTTAACAAGATAAATCAAATGGTCGTAACATGTTTTCACATGCCTATTCACATGTTATTCGCATTAACATATATGATAATTAAAGGATTTAGGATTTAAAGGAATATATCTCTTGTTAAACTTCACATTTTTCATAAACATTAATATTTTATCTCGTATTGAAGTCACAAGCATAAAATTAGAATTTTTCCGAGTATGCGCTAATTTCCTCGCAACGCATTTCTTTAAGTATGATTTTGTGGTAATCATAGGAAACAATTTGACAGCACTTAACGAAAAGAGACTATAAATTGATATGGCGAAGAAAAAGAAGAAGAATAGAAAACAAGAATTTCGTGTGTATGCGTATAAAAATTAGATGTTGTTTTAATTAAATATATAAAATTAAACTTAAAATTATGTAAAGCAGAATTTAAATTTATTGATAATGAAAATAAATATATTTATGTGTTTGTAAAAATGTATGAGTGAAATTTTAGTCAAAGTATTATTGATTATCATAAGTTTTTTTCTCGTTGTGTGAATGTGAGCAATAACAGCAGAATACGGGTTCTTTAAAACACAGTGGAAAAAGAAAAACAAACGGGCGATGCAATGATCGGTACAATGGATACACGGTCATATGCATCTACAGCAACGGGACGTAGCGATTTTGTAACGCCAGGTAAAATTATGGACACTTTCACAGCGCATGATTACCATTAAGCGCAACTTTTAACTAACTAATTGACAATAACAAACAAATGGCAATACATTCCATACATTCCTATGCATATAAAAATGCTACGGCACACCTTTTTTGCACTTACCTATGGTATGATTGTAAACGAAAAGAAAAATCTCGATTGAGAGTCTTAAGTGTCTGAAAAAAATTTGCAACTCGACGGTATCCCAAAATTTATCTGAGTGCTACACAACGGATGTACATATATATTTGGTCTACAACTTAATTTCTAAGTAAATGATTTTTTGAGGCAATTCTTCTTGCTTCTTCTTCTATGAACCTATATAGTCGTTATTTTCGAAATATTATATGTTAAAAATAGTTATCTCTCGGTTGCTCGGCTTAATTCAAAACCTATATATATTCTAAATTTTCTGCAGAAATAATGAGTTTCCTTATATAAAAAATGTCTTTTGTAGCTAGTCCATGCTTACCACCGCACAGAATTTCTGATATTTTATATTAATGAGATGAATTGTTAACGTATGTGTTGTCTAGTTATCAGTTTGGGCATATTTGTTATTTACCGAGACTGTTTTGGGCTTCTAGAACTTTTTAAAAATATTGTAAATACATTTAAATTCCACTTTTAGGCAGCGCCGCAGATGGTTGCTCCTTCCCTTAAAAAGTCACATATATAGACTTAAATGAAGAATAAAGATGAAATAAGATGCAGGAATTTGTTAGCGTATATGGGAGAATCGTTGAGTTTGTTTTACTTTAAGATGTCCACTACAGTCTAATAATTGTTTTCCCCTATTTTCAGGTCGAACTTTGTGGCGCGAAGGGTTATAATCTTAATTTCTTAATAGTTCCATATATTTTGTACGTTCAAAATATATCAAATACCAAACCAACTTATCATGTCCGAATTATTCGCCAAGAAATGCATGCTAAGCCGAGCATATTTTTGTTTGAGAACGTTTCCCGGCATTCGCTTTAAACTTTGTCAGATTAATTGTTATCTAATGAGCTGAGTTACAATTTTTAATTATAATTTATTTATTGCAGAATTAACACCAGAGCAACATAAACTTTTGCTTGAGCTGCGTAGAAGGCGACAAGAGATCTTACTTGAAATACAGGTAATTCCCTCTCATTTATTCATACATTCTGTTTTAGCGTTTTTTTTTTCTTTGCATATGTTACATTATTCAATTATTGTCGCCGAAACAAATTCTACTTTACCATTTTAATGTTCATTTCTGAGGGTTATACTAATATCACTTGTGTTTTTTGTCGATTTATTCAAAAACAATTTGAAAATACGTTAAAATGTTTTAAATACGTCAATAAGACGTTAATAAACGGACATCCGCTATTGCTTTCTGATCATTGCAAAACAATTGGACATATTAGGTATCTTTTTCTGCCTCTAATACCCATGAATATTCGCCGGAGATCCGCAGCGCACACTTCCTGTATGGACAAAAAATTGATGGCTTGCAAAAGATGTTTATTCGAAGCTTTGCGCAAGTATTCTTTAGAGTTAAATGAAACGCCAAAGCAGAAATGATTCCGGTTGGCTAGTTTAAACGATATATTTAACCACATATGTTTCAGTCTTAGATAATTTAAACACTATTGTATAGATAAGGGAGCATAAATTTCCAGATTTTAAATATCCCATACCATAGATATCTCCGATTGACGATTGAAACGGACGCAGATGTTTTTTTAACTGACAATTAGCTTGGTTTGGCTGGTTCGTTCGTTCGTTGACTGTTGTCTGTCTAAAAATTACGATTGTTTGCCTGTTTCAAGTGGTTTAAGGACGTGGCTCGTAAGATTGAACTGTCTCCATAAGTGATATACACAGAAACAAATTAGCAAAAAAAGAAAATTTTCTCCATTAAGATTTTTGCAAAAGTTTTTTTGTGTGGATCCATTCCTTATTAGCTTAGTCCATTTAATCTCAACAAATGTAGATAGAATATAACTTCTTTACATAAAGCAATCACTGAGCTAAATGGATATAGTACCTTTCTCATATGGTGAGCAACACGCAAAAAGTACACCCATTACCTATATTAAGGATTAGCTTGATCTTACAACTGATGTTGGCATATCTTTCCCTCTTATTTGTATTTCCGACAAAATTATGAATGAATATATATGTATATGATTAATATAAAATATACCTTTGCGTTAATAAGATTTACTTGATAAATGTGTCTTTGCTTAAAGCTTACAAATGACAATGACATTACAATAAAGTTTTTTTCATGGAAAGTGGATAGTCTCAGTGTTGTTTTATTCGTTACTCAATGATAGT